CATGTCTACAGAGCCGAGAGCGGAGCACAAGAACAAACAAGCACAAAGACACACAGGCATATTACTACAGCGCTGACTGCCTACTTCTACAGCCTCCTTGAGGACTGGCCTCCATTAAACAACATGTCTAAACATACAAGCTGTGCTTATGATACCACACCATTTCCTCTGTGCAGTGACACCTACAAACTGTGTAAAACAACACATCTAGAATCAGTATCATATCAGACTACACTTATATTGGTACCTTTGTGTAAGTAGGTTAAACTTAATGAGAGCTGCTTTACACTACCTTTCAAAAGTTTGAGGTGCGTAATTTTTTGTTGTCATTAAGGCTGCAAAAAAAAAAAAAAAACGGTAATAAAATTTATTTTTGCAATTTAAAATAACGGTTTTATATTTGCTTATTTTTATATATTTTAAATTTTATACATTATGTATTATGTATTAAAATACTCATATATTTTAATATAACTAACATAACACAAAGTTAGTGTAAAAGAACAGCATTTAAAATAGATATTTTTTTTACACATTGTAAATGCCTTTACTGTCGATTAATTGAATGCACTCTTGAAACTTTTGAAGGGTAGTGTGTAAATAACGGTTTTATATTTGTATAAAGTATTTTAAAATGTCTTTCCTGTGATGGTAAAGCTAACTTTTCAGCATCATTGCTCCAGTCTTCAATGTCACATGATCCTTCAGAAATCATTCTAATATGCTCATTTGCTGCTCAAGAAACGTTTATGATTATTATTCTATTTCTTGATATTATCAATATTCATATTTTAATTGTGTATATTGTGATACCTTTTTCAGGAATTTTGGATGAAGAGAAAAAAAATAGCATTTATTTTAAAACAGAATTAAAAAAACATAAATCTCTTTCTATTTGTATTTATTATATTTTAATATAAAGTATATTAAAGTAGTATTGTTTATTAATAATGAAAGTTTTAGAATATTAAATATTTATAGTTTTAATATAATTACCAGAATGCTGACTACTTACTAGAATACTAAAAATAAACTAAAAAGACGTACAAACTTCCAAATCATGAACACTCATTTTGAAAACGATTGTATAAAGAACTAAAACACACAAAACCAAAACGTGCAGGACAAACTGAACAATATCTCCTGCCACTGTCAGCCTATAAAGTGTTAAGATTAAAATGAAAAATCCAGAGGGAAACAAACAGTAAAAGTATGAGTTTCAGTACTATGTACATTTCGATCTGTCTTCGGAGTGTTTTTATTGCATCAGTGATCGTTCAGCAGGATGGCTGTCCTCAGAGCCGCTGACAGTGATGCCTTCTGATGTCTGTCAAAGGAGCCGTTGACACAAAAAAATGGGTGTACAATTTTGACAGACATTTAAAGAACCCTGTATTTAGATATGTATAACTCAATAGGAAGATTTAAAGCACAGCATTCTTTTAAGTTATCTTGACTTATATGCAAAGTGCAAGATCGCAAAAAGCGTAATGTCTCCAGATGAACAAAATGAATGCATTTCATTTTAAATAATGTAATTCAATCTCCTCAAATCAATACAGCTCTATGCAGCCACTTTGCACGAACACAAGGCAAACAGGAACTCCTGAGGGAGTGTGTGATTGTGAACTTTACCTTCAATCTAACAGCACTCTCTCTTTGAGTCACTTTCAACAGTAAATCAGTCAGAGGCTGCAGAACTGCTTTTAAAGTATTGTTTGGAAAATCCCCTTGATCCAGAAGACTGCCTTAAATCTTGGGTCTGAAAAACCCTGGTGCATGAGAAAGATCTTTTTTTTCGCCTTTGGGAAGAATATATTTAATTTAAAGATGAATGAGGAGAATGGATAAGAAAAGATGCCCGTCTCATTCTTTCCTGCAGTTCACTGTGTGTTTCAAAGCGAATGTGGCTTTAACATCAAACTCTTGGCTGCCGATATATGTAATTAAGATTTTTATGCTCACTAAGGCTGCATTTATTTGATGAAAATAGTGTAAAAACAGTAATAAAAATGTTAAAGAGCATTTTTCTGTTTGAATACATGTTGAAATGTAATTTATTCCTCTGATGCGAAAACTACATTTTCAGTAACCATTACTCCAGTCTTCAGTCACATCATGATCCTTTAGAAATCATTTTAATTTGCTGATATAATTTTTTTTTTTTTTTAAACAAATTACATTTTGGATGCCAGTTTATGTACTGTATATTTATATATAAAAATGCATTTCAAATATTGCACTACCAGTTAACTGCGCTGTCACCAATCCCTCTTTTTTGGTCGATTCTACAAGCATGCTTGAGAAAATTCGTTGTTTTCTTTCCAAAGACTGCACCATCTGTTAGGAGAGTCTGGCTGGTGTGTCTTCGTGGGCCATGAATCATATGAACATCTGGTCCAGGTGAGAACATGATAAGCACACAAACACAGTCACATGCGCAAACTCAAGCAGCTCTCAGTATGTGAGCACTGTCGACTACGAGCAGCACAGTCTGCTTTGCTCTTCAGTTCAGTTAGAAGTCTTATTCCTAACTGTGAGAATGTCAGTGAGGGTAAACACAGCTGATCCACAAACACTTTTACACAGTTGTTTGCATTTGCATTGATTCCAGCTCTATATAAAGACAAACAATTTTATCACAGAACAGAGATTAATTAAATCCAATTCAATGAGTAAACAAAGTAATATTCAACACAAAACTCTGCTTTATATCGCTCTTCTCCATGTCAGCTCATTGAACGATCATTATTACGTCGAAACTTTCAGCATACAATGCTAAGCAGGCTGTATTTAGGCAGAATGAGTACTGGAATAAGTAATGAAGGGAGTCTTCTTTTAGGGGTCCTCAGTGCAGGTGATTTAAGGCTGGATTGTACGGGGCGCAACTCTCTTTAATTCTGGGTTTGTGATTATTTCATTTCTTCTGTGATGTTTAGAGTTGGAGGATCAATGTTAAACTCGCAATGGTACTATTTCTCATGAAGCACGTTGGAAAGTTTGATTTGTTTTAGTCATTTGGTCATTAGCTGCCATGTGCCTTGTGCTGCTTTATATATTTTTTTACATTTGACCTTATTTGTATATCTGTATAGTTGTATTTTATATTTAATCTGTATCTATCTGTATTTATGTTCTACTGTTAGTGTTATCTGTATGCACCAAGGGTCTGAGAGTAACGCAATTTCAGTTCTGTGTGTATGTGCTGTACATGTGGAAGAATTGACAATAAAGCAGACTTGACTTGACTTGACTTGATTAGTCATTCGATTTAGTCATTTTGCGCTTTACTGTTGCTTACTGTACTGTTAACTCTGATTTGCGAGCTGGTTTGATTAGTTTGCTGCTTATTTTGAATCGATTTTTACTACTCCAACCGTTCAGTAGGACAAACTTTTCTTTTCTTTTTCCCGGCAAAATAAATGATCCCATATCTGTAAATCGACATATATCTATTTAACATTAATCAACCATCTGAATTATTTTAGGATAATTAAGTATAAATAAGCAACTGGATCCATTTTAAAATCAGAGATATTGTTTTTAGTCTTTATTAATGACTCAAAACTGCATTAATACAGAAGCATTTGCAAAAGAAATGTTAAAGGGGTCATATGACGTTGCTAAAAAAGAACATTATTTGGTGTATTTGGTGTAATGAAATGTGTTTATGCAGTTTAAGGTTCAAAAAACACATTATTTTCCACATAATGTACATTACGGTTTCTCCTCTATGCCCCGCCTTTCTGAAACACGTCGATTTTTACAAAGCTCATCGGTCTGAAAAAGCGAGGTGTGCTGTGATTGGCCAGCTATCCAGTGCATTGTGATTGGCCGAATACCTCAAGCGTGTGACAGAAATGTTACGCCCCTTACCATATTGTGATGCCGTGTCCCGGCACGACAAGACAAAACCAATAAAACCCATTACAAACGATGCATTTGTAGCATCCAGTGGGGACATTATTACGGATTATAATGACTTATACTGTCTTTTTACGCATAAACATAAAACCATGTCTGCATTTGTGATCGGAGAAATGACAAACAACAAGC